ATATATATATATCTCTCTCTCTATATATATATATCTCTCTCTCTCTCTCTCTCTATATATCTCTCTCTCTCTCTCTCTATATATCTCTCTCTCTCTCTCTCTATCTCTCTCTCTCTCTCTCTCTCTCTCTCTCTCTCTCTCTCTCTCTCTCTCTCTCTCTCTCTCTCTCTCTCTCTATATATATATATATATATATATATATATATATATATATATATATATATATATATATATATATATATATATATATATATCTATCTCGCTATATATATATATATATATATCTCAGGGGGAAAAAAAGCACACTCCTCCTAAACACACCAGAGAATAAAATTCTGTTAGCACTGGGATAGAACTAATGAGCACCCAAAGAAGCAACCAGCCTCAAAGTCCAAATAGCCACCCATCCAAACTGGGAATAAAACACGCGTGAAGTAAATACAAAAGTAATAAACTAGCAAAATGGCCCCTGCAGGACAAACTCCAAAGAATGGTTGGCATTCAGCATGAAATGGGCTTGCCACGACTGACAGACTGAATCAACTACAGGTAGCAGAAACCATTAAAACATCAGTGAAAGAACTGACCTTGAGAACCAGTGCCTAGTGAGGCTCGTTCATCAGCTCTTATAAACTCTTACAAAAATGCTGGTGAAGCTCGATCACCTAGGTACTAACGAACTCAGTTACATTGTCACCATTTTCATTGCATTATTTTAATCTGTACATTACATTTTACGATCATAAGATTTATGTTAATAATTATTGTACTCAATTTAATATTTTATTCATGAGGTAAGTTTTAAGTGATTCTGTTCTTCTGTGTGATATTGTTCTGTGTGATGCAGAGTTCTTCAGCATTTCAAGGCATTGTTTTCTGTAATGCTTCACTGATTTTCTGGATGCTTTTCCAGTAGAATGGTGGATTAACACTTACATCTTGTGCCTCTATGAGGGACCAGGTTCTGGCTCTAGTCCCCAGTAAGCTAAACAAGAACTCTCACAACTGATGTGACCAATTAGTTTTGAGCAATCTCAGTGAGATAGCTTCAGGGGGCTCCTTCAAAAATCCAGCATAGAATGTATTGATACTGTTTCTGGTTGGCCACTCAATAGCTTCTTTATACTACAAGGGTCCCAGTAGTACAGTCGGGTTCATTCTCGAACTACAATCGAGAATTCCAGGTTCAAATCCCAGACGAGACAGGAATGGTTGGGTGCATTTCCTAACACCCAATGGCTCTGTTCACCCAGCAGTAAGTAAGTACTCAGGAGTTAGTCAGCTTGTTTTGGAATTGCATCCTGGGTGGGGTCAGTAATCTGACCTGGGGTGGGGGACCTCAATATAAGCCTAACACGTATGAATATACTCTGGCTGCCTGTCCCCCAACCCAATGAACTATTAATTATTATTAACCTGGAAATGACCAAGCTTTGAAGAACACAACAGCCCTCTAGAAAAAACTGATAAAAGCCTCACCAGAATGCAAAAATCTTCCCAAACAAGCAGCTGCTTTAACAAATCTTAAACTCTTACAAAAATAACGCAAACCAGCATTACTGTGGGGAAATTCTCATCATATTATATCCATCCACCACCAGATGGCAACCCAAGTGACCTGGGGTCTCAGCCAGCCAACTAGCCCTTTCATGAGCCTAGCGCATGACCCGAGACACTACATTCTTCTGGTTCTGTAGTCAACAGTCAACTTTCAGGTAAGTAGTGTTGGCCATTCCTGGAACATTTAGTTCCATGCTCAACCACTTCTATCTTTTGTTTCTTTTAAAGCTTCACTTGTGTGTCTTGTCACACCCAACTTGTGTGCCTAGTGTTTATGTTTCACTGCAGTCATAAGGTCAGGTCAGGGTTATCTATTTTAGTGACTTGCAAGGCTTGCACTTTACTTGCCTTGCCAGGTTTATCTTTCCTAGGGGGGCTTGGACTTCCTCCTCTATGGGTTGGGTACTCTCAAGTCAGCTCAATTCTGGGCAGTTCGTGAGTTTATATTCATGTACGAGGCCTGCTGAAACAGAGTTTGTGCCAGTTAGCCCCATAGCCAGGTAGCCTGGTGTGTTCTCCAAGGCTTGGTCTTAATCATGGTTGGAGCATTTGGGAGCTACTGAAAAGAAATTACCCTACTAGTACTCCCATAAATTATCACAGAATTAAATCAACTTTCATACCAAGAGGAAGATGCCAAACATACCCATAAAACAACAAAAGATCAGCTGCCATGCCATCTAGTTCAATCAGGGAATGCAAAACATGATACCTCAACACTGTCACAACACAAGCCACCACTCGAGAGGATGCTTCAGCAAGTACAAATAACCAATGCCTGCAAAGAGTAGACACTGGGGGATGAAATGACTCATGAGCTCAATGAGCGGAGTGACAGAGGTCACATGAATGACCATCTGAATCTAGTAACATGAATTGTTGGCAGGAAAGCTTCATATATCATCAGGTATAGAGTGGGCAAGGCAGCCACAGCTGCTCACTCAAACATGTAGACCTGACAACTGACCTTCCCTCACCACCCACCAGGATGAGAGATACTGACCATCTGGACCATTTGCAGATGAGGAGGTAGGCCAGGGAAAGAAAAAGTATCTCAGCCAAACAAACACTGATCCCTCTACCCAAACAGCACCGAGGGAGAGCATATGCAGGCACAGACAAGAACAATCATTTACACAATCCAAGCAAATCCTCAGTTGAAGTACAAGGGCTGACCACAAAAGAGGAAGATCCAGGCACAACAGCCTCACTAGCATACAACTAATTATTGTCAACTGGCCTCACAGTGTAATGCATACCCACACACTAACCCATAGCATGAGGTCCCCAGAGAAGAAACCTCACAGGAGAAAACCTGAAGATAACTCTGATAAGGCAAGGAATATGCAAGCCAGCTACCAAGGTAGGCAGCTTTAACACACAGTCAGAGCAAACTATAAAAACAATACAGGGCACATACATAACGGGCCTCATTATGTAACTACACTTAGGCAATTACAAAACATAATCATGAACTGGAAATTAAACAAAATAAAGCAATGGCCCCACATGGAACATAATGTTCCAAGGATAGTCAACCCTACTAATCTGAAAGCACAAAGCTAAATGTGGGTTCAGCACAGACTTATGCTGCGGGTAGTACCAGGCAAGTGAAAGATGTGGCTGGCTGACGAGGATCCTGGATGGCCTGGGCTGCCATCTAACGGTGGTCGGGTACATACCTATCAGTGACTTTGAGGAAATGAGATCTAGCTCTTCATGCCCTACCTCGTAGCCATATATTCCTAATGTGCTAATTCCCTTTCCCAACATTGATGGTTTCATCATATTTTTTCTTAAAGTTGTGGATAGTATTGGCTTCAATACCTTTATGAGCACTCTTACTTCAATGCATTCCACTTGCCGACCACCTATACAGGCAGAAAGAACTTCCTTACATCTCTTCGACTCGATTGTATGTCCAGCTTCCACTGATATCTCCTTGTCCTACCTCTTTAATTTAGAAATGCCTTGTTTGTTCACTTTATCTATTCCCCTCAAAATCTTGCATTTAGTTATCATAACCCCCTCTGTTCCCTCTCTCCTCTGAGGTTGTGAGAGGTCCCATATGGTTCAAACATATAACCTAAAAGACCAAAACGTCTTTCAACCTGTTCTCATAGCTGAGGCCTCTCAATTCTAGCATTAATCTAGTTGCAGACCTATGAACTTTTTAAAGTTTCTCTCTATGCTTCACAAGGTATGGGTTCCATGCTGGTGCTGCATACACAAGTAATGAGCTCACATAAGCAGTGTGTATGGACTTGGACACCTTCTCGTTTAGATTCATAAATGTTGTTATAATGTTTGCTAACTTCCCATATGCTGCCAATGTTATCCCTCTTCATGAGAGCTTCTGGTGTTAAGGTTGGGATTTTGTCTAGTCCTAGGTCTTTTTTCTCTTATTGTTTCTTGTTATGTGTATCCCCTTATTATGTAATTAAATACAGGTCTCCTATCTCCATTACCCACTTTTATTAATTTACACTAATCTGAACTGAATTGTACAGTAGCTGTGGGGAACTGCTGAGGGAACTTTCCTAGAAAAAGGGTTCATGTGCGGCAAATTAAATTTCCACTTAACACACGGCAAGGCTCTTGTTGTTGCTGTTATTGTGATTTTTGAGGTTATCTTAAGGTTATCGTGAGATGATTTCGGGGTTTAGCGTCCCCGTGGCCCGGTCCTCGACCAGGCCTCCTTTTTGTTACACATTCCTAGGAAGCACTCCGTAGCAGCTGTCTAACTCCCAGGTACCTATTTACTGATAGGTGAACAGGAGCATCAGGGTGAAAGAAACTCTGCCCATTTGTTTCCACCTCTGCCAGGGATTGAACCCGGATCCCTAGGACTATGAATCCTGAGCGCTGTCCACTCAGCCTTCAGGCCCATATAAGGATTGATTATTATCCTAGGCCAACTACTGTAACTAGGTGACCATTTTTAGTACAGTAATTCATTCGGTCTATTATCTGTAACACTGCTGGAGTGGTAAGCCAACGTAATGGATAGTTGACTTAAGAGTAACACAAAGTTATTGTTTATCAGGTGGTACATTGTTTGTATGTAATGGCAGGCCATTTCTTATCATGTTTTGTGTGATAAATATATGAATATTAAAGGTCTTGTATGGTGCCAGAACTAGCTGAACAAAACCAAATCAAACCTGACATGAAAACCCTAGATTTTTTTATTAAGCTCAGTGGCATTCCATGGCTCTAAATTCATCTGAAAATACTTAAAAAGATGAATACAGTAGAACAAAAATTAATGCACACAGCATTAATATCTTCTTATTTCCCATGATCTATGAGTGAATTTTATTCAGCCAAATCTTAATTTCTCTTCCACAGTATCCAATATAGTGGATATTGACAAGGAAATGAAAGTAATATTGTTTTACAAATTGTTTAATACACTTTCATCATGTTGAGAAACTTACCCTCAGGTGTTGTTCCTATGCCAGCCTTCCGAATGTCTTTCAGCTGCGTTTGAAGACGTGAAATCCTCTGCTCTGATAACTGTATAGCAGCTTTGAGCTCAGACTCTTGTTGTCCCATTTCCTTCTTTCGTTCTCTCTCTTGTCGTAGCCCACGAGCTGATGCCAGCATAGCTTCACTGTTTGGAGTTCCTTCTACCTGATCATTCATATTTTGTTAGGTGCATTAACAAATTCATTATATTAATATATTATTTGGATGCCAAGTCTTAGCTTTTTCTGCTTACTTTTTTTTTTACACTCAAAGTTATCTTTTACAAACTTGTAAAATACTAGCCAAAAATTTATAAACGTTATATTTGATGGTAAAAGTACTAGAACAAATATAAATAGTATCCATATACAGTACAGAATACTGAATATGTAAAAAATAAAATGTCACTAATTAGGATATATATGCAAACTGTTATAAATAAGGCAACCGTAACACAGTACAGTACTTCTAAAATTCTCTGTACGTACTTGAACAAAGTTATATACAGTATTTCCTTTTAAAACTCATTTGCAATGATGTTTGGATGAATATTTTTCAAAAACAGGAATATCAAAAGCAAACCTTCTGGTTCATTCTCTCAATTCTCCTCATGACAAGGTCACGCTCTTCTTCCATCGTGGTGATGTCACGACGAAGCTCAGTCGTCGAAAATCCACTAGTTCGCAATGCCTCATATTCACGATGAATAATTTTGAATTTATCAATGAGCTCTTCATACTGTAATTACAGATAAGTAGATTTAGCTAGAAAACAATAATAATCCAAAAACAAATATTAATACTAATTGTACATAATCATGTTAGATGCAAATGAAATGTGCAGTACTGAATTGGATTTTTTTTAAATTGATTATGAGGAAGCCTAATTTTGTATAACAAAACAGAGAGGGAATTAGAAAAAATTAAAATGTCAACAAAAACAAGAGCCTGAAATAAAAATTAAAACATGTAATCGATGTAGGAAGTGACCAAATTCCATTTCCGCTGTACGGATCAGGACTTTCATATGTGCTTTAATGGTGAAAGTGAATTTGAAACTCCCACGAAGGCAACTGCTACCCTTGCGCATGAGTGAAAGGCAGATTCATCATTGGTGAGAGGTTCCCCTCTAAATGACTGTAAACAATATACACATTAAAAATATATAGTCCCAAACACATTTTGTGAATGAAAGTAATATTCAAATATGTGTTAAATGTAGAAATACAGTTCAAACTTCTATAAGGGATTATTAAAAATATAATTTGAAATTCAAAAACATTGGCACATTGGCGGGGAACGATGAATGCAAGGCACAACTTGGCCATTGTGTGCTGGGTTGGGTCACCAGAAGCACACAGAAGCTGTCATCATGATTCTGGATTTTGTGCAGGCTCTCCATCCTCCTAAAAGGATTGGATGTCTACTCTGTGATCCATATGTATCTATGTAGTTTATAGTGAGATGTATATTACAGAATATACTAGGATTATCAAGATATTGTTCAAATTTCATGTAAATATCCCAACTGGCATTTGGCAATGTTTACAATTCTTACCTGTTGTGTTCAGAATACTAAATCATATAAATCATCAAGTGATGTTTAGTGTGCTCTGGGTAGAATATACCAACTGCGAAATAACAACTATGGGAAAACAATGGGCCCATTGTTTTCGCTCCACTGTTGTGACCAATGTCGCCTCCCCTCACATCTCAAACGTGTGAACATTTCGGCTATTTTCCGTGGCTATATTTCTTACTGCGGCTTTAGAAACTATCTACGCTTACTCTACGATGGATAGTGATCATGAACAAGGCCCTTCCAGGAAGAAATTTGCAAAAGAAAGGCTTGAAAAGGGAGGGAATTGGGAGTGTAGCTGGAAGGCGTCTGAGCACTCACTCGCGGCTAACGCGTGGCCCGTCTTCAACTCGTCGGCGGTTGGAGCGTGACCAGGTTTTTTATTTTATATAAAATGCTAATGTTCCTCTAGAGAATTCTATTGCGAACCCATTGAGACCAAAATGAAAGACCTAAGACGAAAATTGAGGTGACCAGAGTGAAAATAGTGAAAACATTTTATCGCATTTGCGTGCTCCTGGGTAACTCGTTCGCACTTTCTCTGTTTGCTGCGGGTAATTAGCCGGGCTTTTGGAGTTTATATGCATTTAGTGCTGTAGAGAATTCTATTGCGAACACAATGATACCAAATTTAATCTCGTAGGACGAGAATTAAGGTGACAAAGTTGAAGAGAGTATACACTTTTCAGAATTTACGCGCGCTCCCATGACACCCTGCGACCCAAATCGCACAGTTAAGGGGTGGCGCGCGGGGTACGCCAAAGTGTTAAGGCTATGAAATAAAATTTCAAAACTAACACTGAATGTAATGAAACCCCATGTCATCAGTCAAAGCAAATGGAGTTCTGCCTACCAGAGACCACAAGCCAGAACCTGGCCCTCTCAGAGAGGCACAAGGAGCTGATTAAGGCAGATTAAAGAAACCTCTGTGTGGTTGGAAGCATTTTATGTCTGCCATCGACGGTCAGGCACCCAGAAAGGTAGGCCCCCCAAATCAAACCTTATCTGGTTAAAAAATTGCTACTGAAAGCCAAACTGTTGAATAGAACTTCCCAAATTAAAACGAGCAAGCAAGCATGACATTACAGCCATCACCGCACAGCAGTATGCACAGCTTACCCCTTCCCGGGAGGTGGAAGGGGGAGCTCCAGACCCCTCTCGCCAGCTATCCACAGCCAGTTCAGAGGCTGGTTCAGAGAGAAGGGGGGGGGGGCTCCAGATCTCTCTCGCCAGCTATCCACAGCCAGTTTAGAGGCTGGATGTAAAAAAAAAAAAAAAAAAAAAAAAAAAAAAAAACGCAAACCATCAACCGGAGGGAAGGAGGGTTGCTGAGACGCCTCTGGGTCTCACCCAGAAAATGAAGTTTCATTACATTCAACACTAGTTACCTGGGGGGAGCTCCTTTGGCTCCCTGGAGCTACTTAACCAAAGATAAAAACAAGAGGGACTTACCCGGGAGGAAGGTCGCTCCTCATCTTGAAGTCGAGACAACTGGCTGCAACCAATGACCCAGTGCGACACATGGTCGACTAGGGCCAGGCACATTGACTAGGTAGCGAGCGGCTAGGACCCTGTTCGACCTCTAAAAACCTCGTGCTCATATGTCACTCCAAGACATATTACAAAAGACGGCAGCTAACGCAGCAGACTTACGAACGTCATGGGCACAATGATAGACTGCAGGCTGGCTGAACCAAATAACCCCACGGATGATCTGGGAGACCCGAACCCTGGAACAGGGAAGAAGGGAAACCGGGTCAACCCAAAATGCGTCCCCGGCCACCGAGGCCGTGGCGCACAGGTAACCCCGAAGAGCCGCAACCGGACACAACACATGATGCACCCCTGGCCAAACCAACCAAGCATCAACAACCCAAGGACCCCCTCTGGAAAGTAGCAGTCTCATTCTTCACCAGAAAAGAAGGAGACGGCTGCAAACGAACAAACCTACCACAAGGATCAAAAGAGCAGAAACCTCTGTGCAGGAGAAAAGCATGAAGCTCCGCAACTCCACCCCATAGGCCAATGCCAATAGGATTGAACAATCCTGAACTAAAGGGGCCACAACAAACCGAGGAGAAAAGAGAGCACCCGGTCCAATGACCAGGATGGCTCAGGCGGCGCATGAGCAGGCCGGAGGTGAAACAACGCAGGAGACAGCTTGCAGAAGGGAGCAGAAATAACATCCACCTCAAATGCAAGCTGAAGCAGCACTGCCAGCACCGCACGATACAAGGCAACAGTATTCAGCATAAGATGACGGTCCTAAAACATCCAAGAAAGGAAGGACAAGACAACCTGGTCCGAAACAGAAGAAAACCTACGGAGGGACAAAAAATAATGAAAGGACCGACAAGAAACCTCATACTGTCCCCGAGACGAAGCACACAGGTAGAACACCATCAAGAAAGCCACCTGCTCACCATACAAATGGTATTAGACCTGCGTCAGAAAGACTAGACGCAAAGACTTGAGAAGATCAAACCAGCTACGTAACAGACTGGCCCGATCTGCTGAAAGTGGCGGAGCTGCTGGAAGACCCCCGGGTTTGGACACCAAACAAGCAGCGCTTGAAACCAAGGCAGGGCTAGCCATCAATGGGTCAACAGAACTACTCTTCCCTGGTAAGTCTCCAAGCGAGCTAGGACCTGGAGCAATAGTGGAACCAGAGGTACAGGTACAGGTAACCCCACCTCGACCAGTCCTGGTGCAAGGCATCGACCCCGACAGCCTCGCAGTTAGGAAAGGGCGCCACATAATTCTGGAGATGCCTCGACCACACCGATATGAAGAGGTTCACTTCCGGGAACCTGTACGTCCGGCAGAGCCAATTGAATGAGTCAGTGTTGACTGTCCATTCTGTGGACAGGGTAATGAACCGTGACAGGCCATCCGCCAGAACATTGGATACCTTCCCCCCCCAAACGTGAACAGCCAGGACAGCCAAACCCAGAGAACTCAGCAGATGAGTCACCCGAAGCAACCAGCCCGAAAGAGCCAAGGAGCGCATCGAAACCCCACAGTTCAGGCAGTGAACCACTGGGAAGCAGTCCAAATGGAGCCAGTCGAGCGACCCAAATCCACCAAAGCGACATCCACACGGTTGTTCCTCCAAAAACAGCCATAGACAGGACCCCAGCCACATCAGAGCCTCTGGAGGGAGAGACAAGGAAGAGGTCTGATGACCGAAGCAACCCCTCTGGCACAACCCTTCCGGGTAGGACCACCACGGAAGAAACAACAAGTCCAACATAGGCCGGCAACTAGACGAAGCCGCCTGCAGAAAATGCACCACCGGAGACTCTGCAGACAGCAACAGACAAAAAAATCAGTGTTGAATGTAATGAAACACCATTTTCTGGGTGAGACCTGGAGACTCCCCGGAGCTTATCCAGGCTGATATGCTAATGTCAGACATTGGCATCAGTCATGTGTATAGAGTTCTATGGGGCTACCGGGGACCATGAGCCAGAACCTGGCCCCCTCAAAGAGGCAAGGGGAGCAATGTCCTATAGAAACCCCCATGTGGTTGGAAGCATTCTATGTCTGCTATCGACTGGGTCAGGCACTCAGAAAGGTAAGCGTCCCAAAACAAACCCCTATTCTGGTGAAAATTGCTACCACAAGCCGAACAGATGAATAGAACTCCCCTAAATGAAACAAGCAAATGATCATGTCACATGTCACCGCGCCGCTGTCTGCGCAGCTCACAGCTCCCCTCTCTCCGGGAGGGAAAAGAGGGAGCCCCAGACCTACCGCGCCGGCTATCCACCATCAGTTCTGAGGCTGGATGTCAAAAAACACATAAAATCGCCAACTGGAGGGAGGGATGCTGGGGAGCCTCCGGGTCTCACCCCGAAAATGACTTTACATTACATTCAACTCTAGTTTTTTTGGGGGAGCCCCTTCGGCTCCTCGGAGCTAACTACCCACAGAGGAAAAAAAGAGGGACGTACCCGGAAGGCGGTCGCCGCACACTCTCCAACTTAAAGTCAGGAAAACTGGAACACAACTGCCAACCCAAGGCGACACAGTCCTGAATGGGCCCGGGAACGACATGAGACACCGAGCAGCCAAGCCCCTCCCTGTACGACCGCCAAAAGCCCGGCGCCCGAATGTCAGCTAGGACATGCTGCCATCTTCCTAGCTGACAAAAAGAA